GGTGTTGTTGCTGCGGCACTTGTAGTCACCCTGGATCTGGCGGCCCTCCATCTTGTTGAAGACGTCGCAAGAGGTGTCAATGTTGCCAGTGGACTGGGTGTCGAAGGCACCCTTGACGTCCTCGAGAGCGGGAAGGTCGACCCTGTATGATTGTTAGATTTGTCACGGTACTACAAGAAACCGTAAAACTTACTCAGTGAAGTTGCCACGGAGGAGAACGGCACCGCCAATCTGCTTAAGCTTGGGGAGACCGTCAATCTTCTGGAGAAGGGTGTTGTTCTGGATGGTCAGGCCACCACCAGTCTTGGCAAGGAGAGGCAGAGACAGGTTGGTGAGCTCGACGTTGTTGATGAAGGAGACATCACCATCGGTGGTCTGGGTCAAGTTGGGGGCGATGAACTCGGTGAAGGTGTTCTTGTCGAACTTGATGGAGCCGTTGACGACCTCGAGGGAGTCCATCTGGACCTTGGCGGCATCAGCAATGATGATTTCACCAGCCCAGATAAGGTTGGGGAGGGTGATGCCCAGATCGGGACCGTTGGAGTTGATCTCGATGGTCTTGGTGGCATTGGCCAGCTGGTTGCTGTAAGAAACAAGCTGGTTGTTGTTGTTGATGCGGAGGGAGTCGACAGATGCGACGTTCAGGCCGTCCAAGCTCTTCAGGAAGGTGTCGCTGATGAGAATGTCGTTAACCTTGGTGACACCGGCGGTACCGAACACCAGGGAGCCGAGGGCGGGCAGAGTAACCCAGTTGATAGATCCGACGGTGGCGAGCGAGGTGAAGCGCAGGTCGGAAAGGAGGGTCAGGCCCTGCATCTGGAAGGTGCCCTCAACGGAGGCAAGGGTGGAGGAGGTAAGGCCAACAAGCTGAGTGACGTTGGTAACGATCAGGTCGCCCTTGATGGTCTTGGGGCCGTTGATATCGATGTTACCGGTGATGTCCTCGGAGATCTTGACGGAACCGGTGAAGGTGGTGCAAGGAAGGGCGGTAGCCATGGCGGCATCGGTGACGGTAACGGTGGCCGATGAGCAGATGTTGGTGCTCTGGGCTGGACAAGGCGAATTGTGGTTAGAAAGCGTGCATCCTGAGAGAGGTCTTCGAACAGAACATACCAGAGGCAACACCAGCACCGACGGCCGCGAGGGCGGTGATGAGCTTGGAGTACATTGTGATTGATTTGGAGGCTGTGGATTTCGGTGTCAGTTTATCTGTTAAGAATCGATGGCTCGCGATGGTCGTTTGAACGGAAGGATAATCGAAGCGTTGATTAATTGGAGTCTACTCCAGGTCGGTAACTCTGAAGCGGTGTTCCAAAAAGCTCGACGTTGGTTGTAGGGGGAGAGAGAGGAAAGGGAGCGAAGGAAGTTGACGTCCACGGGTCAGAGGAATTGGTTGGATATGGGGCTCCGGTGTTTCTTGTGTGTTTCTGAAGGAACCTGCGAGCGACTCCTTTTTTCCCCAGATGTTGACGATGGGTAAGGCAATCGACGGTGGAGAGAAAGAGGTGTAGTAGGGCAGAAAGAGAGGCTGGTGGGACGAGATGGAATTGGGCAATGTGTTTTTGGGGCAGGAGGAAGTGAAGAGGAAGCAAGAAGGCATTCCAGGACGCGGCAAGCAATGGATGGCGACTTCCTGCCGAGCATTGGCAGCCGCTCTCCGCTCTTCCTTCGCCCGTGGCCTCCTTCCTCGTGCTGGGTCTTGTTTTCCGGATCGTTCCACGACAGTTACGTACCTTGAATCCACGTGTTATTTGTTCTTCTCTTTCTCGGTGATGTAGAAAAGGGAAGCTTTTTGTTGAAGGCAGGAGATCTGAGCCTTTTGTTGCGTACAGAGGAGTGAACGAGAGACGGGAATTGAATGTCAAAACGAACAGAAATGAAGCTGTCACGGAAAGGGAAGAGGAAGAAAATGATCTGGGGGAAGGGAGGGATGGAGGAGGACTGGACTTTGAGTGGTGCCGCTGGTTGGCGTGGACTGGCGCTATGAAGGGTAATAGAGGTATCCGTATCCGTAGTCAGGAAGAGAGGCAGACCCAGGATCCAGGAGGGTGTGGCTGGAAGGGGAAACACTCTTTTTTGGAGAAGGGGGTGTGTAGCAAAGTATCCCGCCGTTCTTCCACCCTTTTGTGTCGTGTGTGTGTATGGATAGGTACAACAACACAGAGGGAGGCAAGGAATGGCCCGAAAGAAGGGGGGTCAAGGCAATTATCACGCTGCTATTCGTGGTGCACACTGCGGGTACAAAGTAACCAAGACAGGGACCAGGGCCGGCGAGGGTGTGGTCAAGACTGGAACTGGGACCAAGAACTGACGGACCGGCGCCTCCAGCAGTCCAAGGTATCCGTAGTCTGTAGTGTACTGCGTAGACTGCAGCCCAGCTCGATGAGGGAGCAAGTGAGAGAGAGGGAGAATTGAGACTGAAGATGGTGGTGTAGTACTCTGTAGTCGAGCACTCATGCGGCACCACCATCGGCATCGTCACCATGGAAGGTTCGGTGTGGTAACACGTGTAGGTTTGTGAGTCTGTATCTGGTGAAGCTACCAAGTATCTGGTCTGCCGTATTAGTCTCTCAGGTTTGGTCAATGAGGCCGCTCTACTTCAAACTGGACTCAAGTCCTATAGGTATCTCAGCTGGCACGGCGCCGAGCTACTCAACTCAGTTGGGAACTTGGAACTCATCAATGTGCTACGGCGTAGACGGAATCCCCGTGAGCTGCCGCTATTGTGGATATGGTGTCGCGACTTGCAGGTCTTTTGCGTTTGACGCTGGCAGGTTGCAGACAGACACACTGGCATTGGCAGAGTCTGTGTTATACGTCTGTCTGATCATTTATCTGTCTGTTCAATCTGTCGTGGATGCAGCAGTCAGTGGGCTGCTTCTTTGGCAGGAATTCTGGGAGGATTTCCTCCAATATTCTGAGTAACAAAAGTCCGTGTTTTTTCTCGCCATCTACAGACACGCCTCCCGGCCCCCTTTTCCCGCCAGAGTTTATCTGCCGGTCCCGAAGCCTGAGCCTCCTTCCTCTCACAAGGTAGGTAAAATCTCTGGAGCCTCTGCATGGGGGATCTGCTATCAAGACTTTTCTTCCTTCCTTGACGCATCAGGATGGAGCAAATGGCCGTAGCAAATATTGAATGGCTTGTAATCTGGTTAGAGTGATGATGGAATCGCAATGGACACAAAAGCCGGCCGCCATGGCATCAAGTTTCTGCAAATAACCCTGCTTCCACCGGTCTGGCGAGATTTGAAGGTCTTGGTTTCTGGCTTAGCTCCGCCCATCGGGAACCACTTTGGAGCAATCCATCTCCCTCTTTGCACTAGTACAGGGGCAAGGGGCAGAGATGAAGAGTGGGTACCAATTGTACTGTTTAAGTGGATCTCTTCAGGAAAGGGGGGTGCTCCTTGCGAAGAAGATACGTACACGCACAACACACCCGACACAATTCTCTCCATCTTCCAGAGAGGCACGGCCATAGCGAATACCTAATCACCATACACAAACTCTCACACTTTGACACACCACACATACCTTATGCAGACACACAGCTTCCCGTCAGTCAGACACCTCAATTGACAACAGTCAGCGAAAACCTTACGTCTGTCTCCTCTGAAAAGGGCAATTCGACTGACTTGACTTGCGAGAGCTGACGTATCTGCTGATCTATAGGACGAACATGCACATGTGCAGTCAAAAGAATCAACAGACTCTCGCGCCTACACAGTCCCCCGAGCACAGAGGCGAGCACAGAGGCATTCCTCGTCCAATTCATTCGTGGTTCGATCCAATTTTCCATTCTCTCTGTCACGCCGCGACCGAAAATTCTGTCCAAAAGTCAATGCGCTAGGCCAGCCGATGCGAAACCTTCCACTTGTTGTGTGGTCTCTGGATCATTCTCGACACGAGCGCACACATTTTTGCAATACCGAGTGCCTAGGTTTGAATACCCATTACCTATGCAAATTGTTAGTTGGCAATGGCAGCACATCCACGCAAAAGCAACAAGCACGAGCAAAACAAACAACAACACACAGTAGTCATGAATGATCATCCACCTCGCCTCGTCTCGCCTCCCAGTTGCCTCCACAGATCATGTCTGTACCTTACATAAGTTGCTGCACTTGACCCTGCGCAGTAAGGTCAGGCCTCCCAAAATGGAGGTGGATGGACATGGGAATGGCCGACGGACTCTCCCACTCTCCAGTTATCCCGCACAAGGCCCTGCCAAGGTCAGACGCAAGAACCAGCCCCAGTATCCACTGACAAGACTCTGAGACTTTGCACCGCGGCTGCTGGAAAGCCTGAACCACCACGACTGCCTCTAGTCTCCCACTCGCAGACGATGCCTTGGCCAACAACATTCACCAGTGACCGCCCACCACCAGTCCACCACCAATCTACGGATACTGCTGCGTTGATAGCGCCTGAGGCCCAGTTGGCAGCGAGGCCCCAGCCGCAGCCGGGACTTCCTTTCTCTTGCAAAAGTGTCACAACTCAAGGACTCCCAATCCACAATTGGCCCTCCTTCCGCCACCAATCAACACCCACCGTCTTGAGCCAGGCTTCTTCTGGCAATCAATCTGCGGTCCGACCTTTTTTGTTCACACACCCACGACACCCAATCTGTATCGGTACCGATGGGTGCCGCCAACAACCCGCTGCCCAAAAGCTCCTGCTCGAATCAATGAGGCCTTGCTCAGCTGGCATCGAATCCCCATCGTTGATCGCCTCCATCCCAGAGAAAAACCATCGCAGATGGTGCCAAGTTTGTACCAGGTACATTGCCCAGCACGCCACTACCGGCCGCTGCGAACGAGAAAGAAAAAAAAACCGCATACTACATCTACCATCCATCCACAAAATGTTTCATCTTCCTGAGCGGCCTGTTGTTTTGATTTACAGATCCATCAATTCAGGACTGTTAGCACCACTAGGAACCGCTGCAGTCAATGACGCAGTTGCTCGGCCATCCGAATGATTGTGGGCACGGCCATGGCCTAGACTCGACAGAAACTGTGACGAGGGTCGGGAAGAAGCAAGTTTAAAGCATGTTAACAACTTCGGCTCAATCGTAGTGTACGGAGTACGGATGGCCACTCGCAGGCAGATATCAAATCATGCCTGGCTCGCGTGTCGCCCAGGCCTTCGTGCTTTGCATGGCGGCCTCGATCAGGACTGCAACCCACAGACAAGAAGTTGGCAGTGCAGATAGCGCGACGCGTCCAACAAGAGCTTGGCTGTGTCATTGGTCGCCGCCATTCGTCGACGGCTCAACACTGACGGCAGCAAAAGGCGGGCATACGGGGCCTTGCTGTGGTCCATCTGCAATCATCGGCTCTGTCAGTTAATCCTTTCTGCAGTGTTGCTGCAGCAGTACGGTGGTGGATGAGACGGAGGCGATACCCGGAACCAACCACGGCGATGTGACCCTCATCTTTCATGGGCCCTCACCACCATCAACAGCGACGGCACGACAGTTCAATGTCGTGTCGCGTCGCTAGCCATCTCGACATCTACTTACTCTGACGCTAAGACCCTTCCAAGAATGCGCCAGCACTGTTCTACGAAACCAGCGAGCCCGAACTTGCGAAAGGCGGCTGAGCGCTGACGACTATTTGCCTCCCGCCGGTCCATTCTCGCCTGGTTTATTCAGCGGCCCGCAACAGCACGCTTAGCTGCGACTGGTCGGAACTGCCTCCCAGGTGTGTTCTGCCACGATGCCGCACCAAGACAATGAGTCAAAGTCGTGTACAGGCGCTCAGGCACAAATCGATATACGAATACTCGATGGCATTCTTGCTGACCTTTCGCCCCAACCACCAGTGCCTGTCTCGCTCTCCTAAGATTTGCCATCTCTGTGCTCAATGCAGTCTGATGATCAGCCGATAGTTATCCACCAGAAATAGGAGGTCGGAATGGCAATACGGATACAAGCGATAAACGAAAGAACTAGCAACGCAGCAAGATTGCATCGCTGCTACGCACCATATTAACACATGCCAGTCTTCATTTTCGATATCTCTTCCTGCATCTTGTTCCCGGACGGCTTGCTCGCCCGTCCCATCCTACGCTAGTGGCACACCCGTCCCCCCCGGCTTGTCCGCGCTCATCCTAGCTTTACAATCTCTCAGGCTTGCAGGGGGTATACCCAAGACTTCCAGGTTTTCCAGTGGCTCTGCCAGCTGCTGTGGCTGCCGTTACTGAAAACCGCCAACGGCACGAACGGCGCTGGCCAAACAAAGTGCTTCCGAAGCACAAAGAGTGCAACGACCGATCTTCCATCGCGGCTGATTTATGTCACGGGTGGCTGTCTGCCGCACAACGGAAATCTGGGACAGACATCTGGACTCAGACAGCTGCTTGGTATTCCTCTGTATATCGCCTTTGGAATGTCACTCACAACTTCCAGCGTAAAGTCCCAGACTCTATCCGTAGAGTCTTGATTTCTGTCGTAGGGCTACGAGCACAAGCATCATGTGTTACTCTGCACTTTGTAACGCGGATAACACCTGATGCTCTTCAGCTGGTCGGGTTTTGGACTTTTAGTAACAACATGTTCATCCTGCGACAAGACTTCAAACATCGACATCCTTGGCTGACGCACGTTCAACCCCCATCTCACAGTTGCGATGGCCCAGACGGAGCATCAGCGTGGAGAAAGCTTTCCCGCTCCTGCCACGAACTGCTTTCGTTCTGCCTTAACACGGCTCGCGGCAGCTGCAAGCTGCCGTTGGCCTCCCGCCGGGTCTCGGTGTCGCTGTCGTTGTCGCAGGCTCGTCATTTGCGTGTAGCACTCGTGGCCGGTGCGTCCAGTCAACTCGCAACGCCTCGCAACTCCAAACGCAAATGGAGAGCTGCGCCGCTTTCCCTCTAAGGCTGAACGTCGGAACCGTTCACACGCCGTACTTTCGGGGGACAGGCAAAACCCTGAGAGTGCAAGTCTGATTCTGACCGCCGCACAAGGCTGGCTGGCCTGAAAGCTTGATTGATTTGGGGCATTGGGGTAATCCTAAAGGGTCTTGAATAGTTGACGGACGACATGGGTACGTTCGTCGTGATCTGTCCCGCTGCCCGCTTGTCCATTACTAAGAGATTGAAGATGATTTCGTTTTCACTGCCGAGAGCTTTCGTCGGGGAAGTTTGGCTACGTTTTCGTCTGGTTCTGGCCCTTCTGGGTGTACGGCAGAATCGATATCTCGTATCGCCGGGGATTTCGTATCCTTCCCTGACACCCCACATGCCTCATTGGTGATATCTGCAATTTCGCGATATTCGAGATGGAAACTCTGGATATCGCAAGAGTGGGCATGGCTTCCAAGAGAGAAAAGGCTATTTACTGTGTAGTACGTAACCCGACTACTACTCCAGTGTGCTTATATCAGTCTCCTCAACCCTCCACATATACCACATAAACACGCTACGATACGGCGCAAACGGGCTCGCCATCTCCGTCATATCTTTCTCCGACATGTACTTCCATTTCCCGCCGCCCTTGGCCTTGAGCTTGGCCACGTCTCGCCCGGCAAAGGCAGCCATGCCCCTCTGCACGCCCAGGTCACCCAGCGAAAACACGTCCATCCTCTTGAGCCCGAAGCACGCAAACATCTCAACCGACCACAGGCCTAGGCCTCGGACGGCGATGAGCTTGTCCCGCACCTCTTCGTAGGGGGCGTCCGCCAGCATTTGGGCGCTCAGCTCCCCTGACGCAAACTTCTCGGCCAGGCCTTTGATGTACTCGGCTTTCCGCTGCGAGAGGCCGGCGGTGCGGAGGTTCTCGATTGAGCGGGCAGCTACTCCTGACGGCTGGGGAAACTTGTTGGAGGAGGACCCGGACACAGTCGACTCAGCTGCTTCAATCTTAATTTCAGGTTCTTCGTCTGTTGTGAAGAGGGCGACGAATTTGTTCTTGATGGATCGTGCCGCGGCGCCCGAGACCTGTTGGGAGATGATGCCGCTGCAGAGACTCTCAAAGGGGTCGACTTTCTCGGCGAGGCCTTCGGGCGAGAAGACGCGGCAGTAGTTCTTCTCGATGAGGGGCTTCATGCGCTCATCGACCTCGATGAGATGGCGGCACGCTTCCTCGAGGATGTTGTCCGTGGTCGTTCGCTTCGCGCTCCCGCCTCCTGTTCCTTCTCCTCTTGCCGGAACACTGCCCGTCGGTGCCTTGGAAGGCGATGCCGCCTCGGCGGAACGAGACGCGATGATCCTCGACGTCTCGGGTGAGATGACGGGCGCGTTGGTGAGTTTCGGATCAGCGAGCCGGCTCACGGCCTTGGTCTTGGGCTTCTTCACGGTGCCGTTGACGCGTTCGGCGATGAGGCCGACGGCGCTCGGGGTGGGTGTGATTGGCGGAGGCGGAGCGGGTGTCACGGGGCCGGTCTTGGAGACCCGTTTTCTCGGCGGTGTGACCGGGTCCGAGGACGGAGCTGGATCTGTTAGCGCGGGTTCTGCCGGGGCCTTTCTCTTCCGGCCTTTTGGCGCCGGGGAGGCCACCGGAGGCGTTGCGATTCTGGGAGGTGGCGGAATTTTGATGTCCGTTTTGGCGCTCAGTCGAGCTGATCGGCGGGACGTCATTGTTCGTGATGTAGTTTCTGGTGACGACCTTGACGATGACGAGTGATTTCGTAGGCTTCCAGATGATTTTTGAGTGACTTGAGCTGTTGTGCGGTCGCTGTGTGTGAAGGGAGAGTCGTTCAAGGTGAATATCAAGTGATGCCGTGGACGTACAAACCCCCGTGCAGCAGAAAAGGAGCACACAGAATGGAGGATGAAACGAATCCTCATTCGGACGCCATTGGCTTTCAAAAGGGTACTTGTCAAGATTTTCTGTCGAGGAAGAGCTGAAATCTGGGTATGGAATATGTTGTTCACTTGGTTGTAGTAGCAGCACGATGCATTTGAATCTGTAGCAATGTCGTTGGCATTCACGGCAGCAACGAGGTTCGCCAGTAAATTGAGGCTCCGGAGCCGCCACTCGGCTGGCACTGCTTAGTGCTTTGTCATCTTCAGTTTGGGGGCGCACGGGGAGGACGATGAAGTGCTTCACTGCTTTTGGGAAAGAGAGCTTCCCGCTTGGATCGACGCGCGCCTGCCTTTTGGAGAGAGCAGCTTACTCAGCCGAGGCCTGGTTTATCCTGTACACAGTACTGTATTGCCATGGTCGGATGAACCAACTTGGTCAAGGTGAGATCCTGCGACAGAGCACAGTCCCGTGAAGATGCAGGCAACCTGTGCCTGACGTTAATCGGATTGAATGATGCCCGTCCGATATTCCAGTGGCAACGTATATTGCCCTGTTGGCTGTGCAAACACGGGAATAACTTGACGACCCGTGCTATGATGTGGTAACGTTTTTCACAGCCGTAGTCACATTCGTTGTATACGAGTTGTAGTGTGGGCTGGTTTTGCTGCTTTATATCGTGCGGTCGACGGTCATCGAGGGCCATTTTACGGGTATACGAAATCGAATGCGAAACCCCCGCTGGCTTCAAGCCCCTCACCTTTGACGAGGATATGTGGATGACTGACAATCAGTCACCATGCTGTCTGATATGTGGTCAAAAGTAGCCCAGGTTCCTTGCTTGAACACCGGATGGAGAGCTCCCACAAAATGAACGTTGGCATGTTGCTATATTTAAGGGTGACAGATCACCGTTGAAAAGATGATTCGATAGTGCTATGTGCATAATTGGGCCATTGCCTCCGGGAGTTGTGGACAGCATGCGGTGCACGCGACCAACAGCCTGACCAGGCGGGCGGGGAGTAGGAGTGATCAGCAAGGCAGTATTCGAAGAACAACATCTTTGCATCCATTGGATTCCCCTGCCTCCTGTAAGCGCACTGTAAGCCGGATCAGGAGTTGACAAGTTGCACACGCAACGGCGGAACTGTGGGGGGACAGGATCCATCGTCTATGCCCGTGATGATGCCGGATGACGACGACTGTTGCTCCATCTGATCCATGGCCGGCACGCGGCCTGGACCTTTGGAAGACCGGAGGGGAAAAGCATTGTCC